TGTTGCGTCTGTCCTTCTTATCCTCCCTCGCTGGTGTCTGATCTTCTTTTCTGCAACTCAAGAAGTCCAGATGCTTTTATTTCCAAGCTCCTTAGTCTACGATGGCCTGGATGACTGAGAACCTTCACAGACATACTGGTTATAAGGTTTGGGGAAACTTGCAGTCAGCTGAGACTGAAGCTGAGACTGAAGAAGTCACTTGGATGAGTGCGGAAATGTTTCTCCTACAAAACGCTACGTCCAGATGAACAGAGTCAACTTTTGGAGATTAAGATAAATAGATAAATCTAGAGATATAGGTATAAATATAAATATAAACATGTATATAAATATAAAAGGACAAGTACATCTACAAATATATGTCATGGAGTACAAAAATGCACCCTGTGCACTGAGGTTTAATAATTCTGTTTCACATGTGTGGACCTGACCAAAGAACATTAATAACGAAGGAACAACCTCCTGCAACATTCTCTCAGACAGCAAGGTTGAAGGAACCTGTTGCTGAAACTTCTCTTTAGATTGTGCAGTGTGTTATGGGGGGTTCATTGTTCATGATTGCCAGCATTCTGTCAACATACATACATATGCAATATAATTGGCACTCTTGTTTTTGACATAAATACCTGCTCTTGATGCGCTGTGAAAAACTTTGTGATTTCTGATTGCTTGAACTCTCGTCCAACTTTACCCAACATTACTGTTTTCTGTAAACTTCATATTTATTATTTTTCCGTCCTGTATGTACCGCATAACTTTGTACTTTGTCTATTTTCTTTTTGTATTTTAAAGATAGCAGAAACTTGCTTTGATTCTAAATGTCCACCTTGTCTTTTATTTTCATGTGTAAATGCTTCATATTATAATCATAGATAGTCCTCCTTTTAGATGAGGTCACATAAAATACTTAACAACTGTACTATGAATGGCAATAATTAACAATTATTTATAAAACCTCTATTAATATTGTATGTATACATGTGCATCTACATACTGTGTTTATATGTAATGTTAATTATGTACTTAGACTTTGCGAATGCTGCCATGAACCATTAACAGCTTATAAATAACTGGTTTGTACTTTCTGTTGAATCCATAATTCAGTAATTAAGTATGAAAACACTTGTGTCAAAAATATTGTTATATGTGAACTCACTAAAGACATTTACATTACATACATTGCAAGCATTTACAACTGTGCGATTACAAAAATGATGATTTATGTAATTTATAATAACTTAATAATTTTTGTAGTTATTATAAAGTGTTACCCAAAAATCATGCCATTATCTAACCTTGTATTTTTGTGGCCAGAGTACTGCACATTGCTCTTAAAGTTAATGAAAAAGTGTTTTTCTTAGCTCCATCATGATAGCTCCTGTTATAAAGTGAGTTCTGCGTGTGTATGTTTTATGTTAGTTGTGATGTGAGTGACCAAGGAGGTTTGCTAACCTGTACTTGTGGCGTTGGAGCAGCTGAAGGTGAATCTGAGGAAAAAATATTTAACAAATCAAAGAATGTTGTTAAAAATTGTTATATTATTTTGACTTGCATTATATTTCACACAAAGTAAACAAAAGATCAGTTAGCTGAGATTTGTATGGCCTTTTCCATCCTGTGCTATGATTGTGTGTGTAGTTCAGGGATGCCCAGTCCTCGAGAGCTACTGTCCTGCTGCTTTTAAATGCATCCTTGTCCCGACACACTGGAATCAAATGAACGGCTTATTACTGGGCCTTTGCCAAACTTGAAGCCATGCTGAAGACGTAATCAGACCATTTGATTCAGCTGTGTTGGAGTAGGGATGCATCTAAAAGCTGCAGGACAGTGGCTCTCGAGGACTGGACCTGGGTACCCCTGGTGTTGTGTATAGAAACATAATGTCTGAAACAGTTGAGAGTGAGGGATTTAAATGTGAAATAATATTACTGACTCTGCATAGCAGGCATAATGTGAGCACATTAATAATGTTTCAGCACTATTATTAAAATAAGGCATTATGATTATTATCATCATTAGAATTATATCAATGCCATCAACAGCAACATGAAAGCACTGCAGTGACTCCGTTAGATATTGCCATTAAACAATTTGTCCCTTACTCTTAGGGTCCATGATCAAATCTGAAGACCTGAAGGAAAGAAAGACAAAACTCAGAAGCAACAGGTAACAGATGTCAAACTCCACTATGTTAAGTGTATCCTAACATACTTTACAAGGGGCTACACTTTGGACAGATCATCAGTCTAAACAATCAGGTTTAATAGTGTAACCAAAAATATAAAGAAATAAGAAAAGTGATATATGTCTCCAGCTAAGAAGCTGTTCTGTGTAACCCATGTCCTCAAACATCAGACAAACTAGAAAACAAAACCAACCAGACGGGAAAATGAAATTAAAATACCAAAACATATAAAACAACATCAGTCTGGTTTCCTACCTTGTGCTGCTGCTGTGACTGCTGCAGCGAGGAGGATGCAGTGAAACTACTCAAAGAGAGCACTCGGTCTTTTATACAGTAGCCTGCCCACTTTCACTTTCTGTTTTATTTTATGATAAAGCATGTGGTTTATAAGAAATCCCCTTAATTCCCCTGAGCTTTATGTTTTAGCACCTGACAACTTTTTGCAGAAAAACAATAAGTGAGCAGTCTGCTGGTTGCAGAGATAAAACAATAAAAAGACTAAATATAAATAATGTGAACAAGCATTTTTTTAGTTGCTTTGTTCATCAGTAATGATAAATTATAGCCTGCAAACACTTATAAAGAATGCAAAGGTGGCAGGGATAGCTCAGTAGGTAGAGTGGTCGGTGGTTCAAATCCACTTAACTGCTATGCTGAGATGCTGAGCAAGGCACCATCCCTACACATTGCTCCCCGGTCACCTGCTTAGTGGCTGCCCCTAACAAATTCAAAGAAAGTAATTTACCCACAGGGATCATCTTTTATTATTAAAGAGGAAAATCTTGTGATTCACATCTCATCATTTTGTCTCATCACTCAGTTTCACTTTTTAAAAGCTAAATACATATTTCAGTTTTATCTTTTCTAATTATTGCAAAAGTTAAGTAAGAGAAAGGTCAGATGAGGTTTGCATCAAAAAGTACCAGGAAAGAAAAACATCAAGTAAGATACTTCCCAGAAGTGATTTTGGGAAGTACCTATTTATAACCGTCATGGTTTGTCATTAAGAAAGTGAAAGTATAAGATCTGATCAGTCTATATAAGACCGACTTTGTTCCATTCAACAGTTTCACTTGATCTTTGCCTCTGCAGCTGCATCACAATACAGGTAAGAATTCTTTACCATGTATGTTATCAGGTTAAAAATGAGCCTTAGTGATTCATACCAGTTCATTTTTATTGTGTTTTCTTACTTTTCTAATTGCTCAGGAGTTTGGAAATCCCACACTAGTGAGTGGAAAGTTCAGTCTGCAGACCATATGCTGTAAAATCATTGCCACTACACTTTAAGTCTTACTCTCTAAAATGTTGCATTTTTCCCTCCTTCCCTTAATGAATTTATTGTAGAAGGCAACATTTGTGCAACGACTGTGGTTTTACGTTTAAGCTTTAAACTCATTTAGTTTAACTTTATAATTATTTTATAAACTTTTTCTTTTTTCGGGTGTGGGCACCTGATCATTGAAATATTTGTGTGTTATTGATTGATATTAACTTTATCTTTACTTCTTCAGTTTTAGCAATGGGAGGTAGCTCTTCTTCTCCTACACGTAAGTAGTATATAGTGAAGAAATTGTTCTCTGTTGCAGAATAAGGCAAGAGCTGCATATTAGAATGCAATTTTAGTCTTTGTTGCACAGTTATATTCCCACTGCAAAAAAAAATTGTATTTTACTTTCTCTATGTTTTACTTTGTAGCACCTCCAGCTCCACCACGTCTTCCTAGTAAGTTATATCATAAATTTAACAACATAAATTCTACAATTAATTTGCACATACCTGTCTAATGCGTGTTTCATGTTGTTTGTTTTTATTTTCTAGCACCTCCACCTTCTCCTAGTAAGTTTCATTTTAGAACACTGGTTACTGTTATTTGCAGATTATTTTGAACAAAACTGATTTCTCCTGTTTACAAATAGAGTTAATCTTTTTTACGCTCTAAAATGCTTTTCAATTCAATTTTCAGCTTTGAAAACTCCGTGGAGACAAGTATCTTGGGGGTAAATCTACAGTTTCCAGTCTTGTGAACAGGACTGAGAATATCAGTTGCTGACTTAGACCAATTTTCTTCTGTTTAACTCTAACTACTGCAATACATTTGGAAGGCTGTACTAATAAGTAATTTAAAAAAATGGGTTCCCTTCACTGACCATTTTATTTTATGAAAAATGCAAAAGAGATGTTTGATTTTCTCACACGAACAGAAAAGCTTATCAGATGTTGCAAACATTGCAAACAGCCAACCACAGCCCTATTATTGTTAGCCACATCTCATACACAATTTCTATACGTGCATTTTAAGTTAATAATGTGTCTTTCGCTGGGTCTGCTGAAGTGCCTTAAGCATTCTTTGATCTTACACTGGATGTTAATGCTCTTGTTAAAAATGTAATATACAAAAATGTAGTTCAAACATGCAGTTTTTCCTCAGGATGAATTACTGTGGCTTCTGTAATCATCTAACTTTTTTCATATAGCTCCATCATGAGGTCAAAATTTAACTTGCATTGGAAAACTGACGATTTTTACTATCCCTTATGTCCCATTCAGAAAATGTTATCATGCTATTCTGATAACAGGCATTATCAAACGTCACAGAAAACATCCCATAACTAGCATTTTCCTGATTGAACAGCTGTGTTTAAAAAGCAGCCTCACAGAGCTGTTAGAATGTTTTAACCTCATCAGTCATGTTAAAACTACATCTACAATGTATTAAACTTTTTTAACCCCATTTTACAGGAACCAGGCAGATCTGCAGTATGTGAAGAATTTTCAGCTTCAAAATGAACGAGTGAGACATGTCAGAGTTTTGCTCTATGGCCCAGTCGGTGCCGGGAAGTCCAGCTTCATCAATTCTGTCAGCAATGCCTTACGGAGAAGAATAACCTGTCCAGCTATGACCAACGCAACAAATGAGGAGGAAGGAAGTTTCACCAAAAAAGTAACTTCCTTTTATTTACACTGACTCGATGTATGGAAATTTAACAAGTGAAACTGTAACATATGGTAAAATATTAGCCTACACACCATGTTAAAGATTTAATAAGTAATTAAAACATTTTCATCATGTTCAAAACAAATCGTATCTCCTTCCAAGTTGTTTGTAAACTTTTGTCATTCAGTATGAAACCCACAACATTAAGAAAGACACAGGGCAGTTTTACCCATTTGTCTTCAATGACCTGATGGGTTTGGAAGAAGGGAGTGGACAAGGAGTGAGAGTGGAAGACATCAAACTGGCCATGATGGGACATGTGAAGGAGGGTTATAAGGTACAATCATCAAACTGTGAACTTTGTTTATTCTTTAAGTAAAACTCTCAAATTGTCTTCAAGTTATTTTGTGAGAGAAAAAGTAAATCATATATTGATTAATTTATTGAAGTTTTTTTTTTTAAATACAGATTTGCACAGTCTTCTTTCATTCATGTTGTTAATGAGATTCTTGTTATACTATACAATGAGTGTGGGTTCACTGGATCTTTGTAACATATTGCAGTTAAACCCTGCTTCTCCATTGTCCACTTCTGATTCTGGCTACAACCCTTCACCTTCTCCAGAGGACAGAGTTCATGTTCTGGTTTGTGTCCACACTGGTAACGCAACAGAAATTAACAGCTCAGTGTTACAGAAGATGAAAATCATCAGAGAGGCAGCCAGCGACTTGGGTAAGAGGGGATTAAGTGTGTAACAGACTTACAGTGCATTTAAAGAACATCTTGGCTATTTATTCTAACACTTTACTTGTAAAAGAAAACAAATACATGTGCATGAAAAACACAGCTGAAGTTCTGCATTAGACTTGTTTGTCTTAAAACATCTGATAAGAGAAGTTTTATAACTATACCTGGTTAAATATGGACGGTCTCTGCTGGAAGACATTTCACTGAATGATTCACAGGCTTTTGAGTGGTATTTGTTCATATTGTATGCATAATCAAAGTTCTTGTCAAGTTAACCCCAGACTTATCAGAAAATATCTCATATTGCAGGTATTCCCCAGTTAGCTGTTCTTACCAAATTTGATGAGGCCTGTCCTGAAACTGACAAGGACCTGAAGAATGTGTACAAAAGCAAGCTTGTGAAGAGAAAGGTGAATTTTGGCTGGAAAAAATTAACATTACAACAATACTGGCTGGGTAAATGAAACATTGCAAACCTGAACTCAGATCTTACAGTAATTCATTTGTTTCTGTAAAAACCAGATGGGAGATCTGAGCTCAAAACTGGGGATCCCGCTTAACTTCATCCTTCCTGTGAAGAACTACAGTGAAGAAACAGAACTGAATGACGATGTTGACACTTTGATCCTGAGCGCAGTGAGAATGATGATTGACCTGGGAGAAGACTTCATTGACTCTAAATTATAAACTGACATACACAGTGATGTAATACACTCGATGAATAATACATAATCCCAGTAGAATAAGAGTCACTTTTTCCACACCGGGTGACGTTAATTACCAGTGTTGAGGCCAGTGGTAAAACATATGTTCTTATATGACCATAGTCAATGTAGTTGAATTATGTTAACAGCTGTAGGACATATATTATCCTTTAGGTTAGATGGTGTGCTGTGTATGTAGTTTAGTTCTCATTGTACTCTTGAGTTAAAAGAACATATTCATTTATTAGTTTATTAGATAAATGTGCATCACTCTGTATCCTTGATCTGCTGTGAATGTCTTACACTGTTTTCTTGACATGCTTTATTGTTGAATCATAAAAAGAAGGTTGTAAAGCAGGAGACTTGGTGTCTAGGGAGAAGAGATAAACCACATTCCGTACCCCCACCTTCCTTAAAACAGAAAGACAGGGAGCAAAGGTCAGGAGACAGTCTTGCTAAGAATTAAAAAAACATGTGAAGAGGTAGCTTTTATGACTAGGTGGGGGTCGTCAGAAGCTAAAAAAGGCTGTGAGATTCGCCACCATTTTGAGACATGCGGCCGAACCTCTGACCGGCATCTCTCCCGTCCGGACGTTTAATGCTCTGTATTGTTGAATTGTATGGAAATAAATGATTGTTGATTGAGCATTTATACACCGAGTACTGTCCTTCCTTCAGCCCAAAGATTAAAAGGATTGGGTGATTTCAACACCAGATAAAATAAAAATCATGAAAGTTGTTATGGAAAACTGATATAATTGAGTGTGATTAATATGAAAAGAAACATGAGTTTCATCTCTCTCTTTTCCTTTTTTTAATATCGACTAACATCACAGAAATATATCGAAGAACATCTATAATCAAATAAAATAAAGCTGTCATTGTCTTTGCAGATGAATTTCACACATGCACTCCAGCCATGAGCTTGTGTAGCCATCACCCAGCTCTGCATGTTAGAATGCAAATGTGCACTGAAGAATAAATAAATGTCCCATACATTTGCATTAAACCTTGAAAAAGTACGGGCCAGGGTTCGGGCAGGGCTGTGGCTGAGTGCCCTGCCCAAAGGGACACCCTTAGGTTAACCCAGGGCTGGGCAATCTCAGTCCACGAGGGCTGGTATCCCATCATTTTTATAGTGGCAACCCTCCCTATGAGTGATATGGGTAGACATTTCCACCTAGCCAGATTACCTTCTACTTTCCTTAAAAGTGGGATATGGTTTAATTTAGTTA